CCCCCCCCCCCGCACTACTAATTTGTTAGTAAAAGCTTAAATACAGCAGATTAATAATTTCAAATTTGCAAACTGTGATTTGGAATGAAATCTCTGTCCCTGACCTGCAAAGGCCAGGGTTATCTTCACGAAAGTAAAAACTGCAATGAGGTCAAAGAGGCACGAACTCAGAATGAAGCAAAAGGAAAAATACTGATTTATTTTTTTCCCATTATTCTAACAGAACTGATGTTAAGGACCTGACCTCTCTCCCAAATATCTCTGTGTACTTGAAGCATATCTAGTGTATCTTTAATTTTAAAATATTCACCTACTTCCAAATGATAGTGCTGGTATGATTGAAGTAGTCCAACAAAGCAATAACCCAAGAAGTTACATGAAATTTTGTCAAGATAGTATTCTAAATTTCAACAATCTGACAACCCACAGCTGAGTTTGAAGGTGGCGAACTAGGAAAGGCAAGTGTTGAAATCATTATAGACATGCAGTGAAAAAACAGACTTGTTGATCTTTGTTACAACTGGATAATGCAGAGCAAGACAGGGCTCTAATAAGGAGCTTGGACAAGTGACAGCTTTCAATGGATTCTGGGAAAAAAAATGACATGATTTCATTCAGGACGTCTATTTCAGTGTGTGTACATGAAAAATGGTTCTCAAAAGGATGTATGCTAGATGACAGAAATCACTACCCACTGATAATTAAGGCAAGTTATTGTAAACTACATGCTCAGGGATGTCCCTATTTGCAATTCGCTGCTCCTATCCGCATCTTGCTCTCCCCATATGTAGTTGAACACTTCCAAAATCTCATGCTTGAATATTGTTATCACTGATTTATACTGAAAAAAATCACACGTGGGTAGTAAGCCACAAAAATCAGCTTGAATAGTTTCTTTTCTTTTTTTTCAAGATGATGATGAAAAAAAAAAATCAGCTCCCTTTTCCTGCTGATGCTAAGAGTAATTCTGAATTGGAGGATGCTCAGAGGCATTTTAAGTGCTTACAAGCACTTACTATGCTTTCCTCCAGTATGCACACATCCAGATTTGATGGTAAAAGAAAGAAAAAGCCTATTCAATGCAGCTAGAGGTGCTATAAAGCTAGTTTCCCCTCTTTGTTTTACTTAAAATTTGTCAAAAAAAAGAAGAGCTGAATATGTCCAGAATATAATCACTGATATATCCAGAGCACAAATATAATCACTGAGTATATCCAGAGTACAATTTTCAGCTGTCCATATTCTTAAAGGTGTTTAGCGCTCTCCTCTAGAAACCTCCTCCCCACTTGCACCTCAATCAGACTGATCATTTGAAGGTGGAAGCTCTTGGAACAGCTCTTTTAGGAGAATAACCTCTCCCCACTGTCTCCTTCATTCCCTTGGACCTGAGGTGACTAATGAAAGGTTTTGCCATACTAAATCCTCATGAGTTCTGCATGTGTAAGATTGCTCTGGGGGAATTTCTAAAGGGAGGGGTAGAAGAGCCAGTGAATGACAAAGCAGGAGTGAAAACATCTTGCAGAGTCTTACTGGGACTCCCATGCTCTGGGAAAAGGCAACATCAGTTGCCTCTGAAACATGAGATGAGATCTTCTTGGGCAAAAACTCCATCACTTAAAAGAGCTGGGATGGGAATGTTAAAAATTGCTCTGGGATGGGAATGTTAAAAAAGAGGACTTCGTAAAACTTTAGTGTGAGACTGCCAAAGGGCCAGAAGGCTGGCAGCACGCAGATGCTGCTGGTACTACTGCTGCTGATTAACATACAAGGCAGAAATTCCCCGGTGAAACAAAGTGCTGTGATGAAGTGCTAAAAAGCCAAAGAGCTCTAGAAGGAGGAAGAATGAGACTTCTGAAGTGGAAGATTGATGGCTCTTGAATAGAGCTGAGGGACAGCAACATCTCATATTCCTTTGCTCCCAAACATCTGGCTTTGTGAAGATGCAAACTACCTAAGCTTTCCACAAGAGAGCTGGTGTTTGTGATGCTAAATCCTCCGGGGGTAAGGACTTGTCCAGACAAGGCAGAAAGGGAGAGAAGAAAATAAAGCAAAGCCTGGCAGAAAAAACAGCAGGCTCAGGTTCACCTCGTATGTGTGTGTGTGTGTGTTTGTATCTTAAGACACATTGCTTTGGAAATACCTGATTTCTCAAAAGGAATGATGGTGGCCTTAAAATTAGGAAGGCCAAACACCAAGAAGAATTTGTACTTAATTTGTACTATTTTAATAGTACAAATTAAGAGGTTCCAGCTGAGATGCCAAAATCACCCTGCACACCACCCCCCCAAAGCTACACAGCAGAGCATTGAGTGCTGCCAAAAAGGGCAGTCCCACCCTGCCCTCTCCCAGCAACATGTTCTTGGCACATTCCTCCTGCTGGCACCACACACACGTGGCCAGCTTGACCCATGAAGTGATCTGGATGAAAACCAACCTGGCTGAAAAAAAAAAAAAAATTAAAAAAAAAAAGAAAGAAAAAACCCCAGTGCTGCTTCCGTGCACGGTCATTTTCCTGATTAAGTATCTAGCTTGGCTGCATAAATACTGGGGTATGTGCATGACTGGGAAGAGAAACACACACCTTGGGGATAGTGTGGACTCTGGGTAGAGCTGAAATGGATCATGGATACATCAGAAGGACATGTCTGGGTGTGGGAAGTCGTCTGCAGTGAAGGGATCACACATTCCCCCTCTGCCTGGGACCAGTAAGCAGGGTCTAGGAAGATGCCACCCACAGACAGTCCAGAGCAGAAATCTGTAAAACTCCCAGTGTGGTCTGCTCAGAGACAGCAGTGAGTACTTCAAATGAGCTAAATATACATCTAGGTCACTTGAAGACCCTGTCCTCATATACACAGCACAGCATCTTATATGCCTTTTAGTTAACACTATCAAAGCTTTGGTGTAAACCTGAACAACTACCAGGTCAAGATGAAAGAACACTAATAGATATGAGTCACTTTGGCCTGTATATGTTAAAATACCAGCCAAACCAACATTTTCCCTTGTTTATTGCATGCTGTATTACTAGCCAATGGAATGGAAAGACCTTAATTTATCAGTGTTGCTATCATTTCTCCATCTGTGAAAAGTCCCTGTGAAACAAACTGTTCTCACAGCATCCCTGTCCTGGTGCTCAAAGCCTGGCCCAGCCAGGGCTCACATCCCTGCGTGCAGAACTGCCGGGGACAGGGCAGCTGCCTTTGTTCTTGATCCATCTCCTATGGACAGCATACGAACATCTGACAGTTTACAAAGAAGCAACTTAAAAGCAGTCTGTATGTGAAGCCAATTTTGATGGTATGGAAAAATCTTTTTTATTTTAAATGGCTGTTAATGTGCTAACCACCTTCCCTTCAAGCCTTCTCAGGATGAGGCAGGGAATAATACATTTTTTTGGTGAATGACTGAATCAGCTAAATTGCTAACTATACAGATAGCAAATTAGTCATGCAAAAGCACTCGCTCTTCCATTTGAACCTTCATTTTAAAGTGAACTGGGATGTCAGAATGCCTTAGACCAGTAGTGAAAATCCTAAACAGAAAGTCTTAAAAAACAATGATACCCAGATCAAAATAAATGAATAATTTCCCATGTACAATCACAAAAGTTCTGACTTTCAGATATCAAAGAAATGAAAATGCACAAGTTCTCAATCCTTCTGCTTCTACAACTAATTACTTTAGAGCAAGAGTACTTCCTTTTTGTGGCTTTGTTGCAAACCCCTGGAACTAAAAAGCACCAGAATAATGACCTCAGCCGGGGTTAGTGAGGTGAACCACAGCTCAAAGTATTCTTGAGAACACTTTTCTGAACACTAAGTATATGTTTTAAAAAATAAAAAAAGAGAAAGAAACACAAAGAGGAAGAAAAAAAAATCCCAAACAGTTTTCTAGTATCCAGATATAATGAGAAATGACTTTGGTTTCTTCTGACAAGTAACTCTAAGAAAACCAAACCAAAAAAAAATCACTAATCAAGCTCTACCTCTTTGAAAATATTACCATGGAACATGTGCCCTCTCCCCACAAAAGAGGAGGAAAATGGAAGTAACTGATGTCAAACAGCAAACTTCTTTTTCTATTTCTTCAAAGGAAAGAAATGCTGACATTTAAAGTGACATGTGAAACAACAAGGGGAATGAAATTAAGATGCATCTGACACAGCACATATTAAATATAAATTAACATGTCTGATTAAGCAAACTCCATAATGAAGAATAAATGTGCAAACAACATACGGAACATAATATCAAAAAAGACAAAGCCTATGGCAGGTGTTCACTTGGCCCAGGAGCAGAGGTGAAGTTTCTGAAGACATGTGGCCATACTTACTCTGTGCTTCACAGTCCACGCAGTGGGAATTGCCTCTGATGTTCCTTATGGATTGCAGGGCCATGGCCTCGTTCTGACTCGTCAGGCGGGACTGTGTATATTTAAAGAAAGACATAAGCAACAAATAAGAACCCAACAAAATTTGATGACACGTGTCAGCTGAAGGAATGGCAAAAACAAAGCTTAGACCAAGGTTGAATGAATGTGATCAAGGAACCTCCAGTCCTTGGTTTGCCTCTCAAGAAATGGTGATCCTTTGGCATCTCCTAGGACTGCAGGTCCATGCCTGCCAAGCAGGGACTCCTCTTTCCTCCCACGCTTCTTGACGGCTCGGGATTTCTCCCAGAGCTCTCTCCATCCTGTGCAGGAGCTCCCAGTGTTTTGGGGTCTCCAGCCTGGATTCTAACAAGTGGAGAAATCACACAGAGGAAAACTGAGCTTGAAAATGAACCCTGCTATTCACAAGAACAGTAGTCACAGTGTAGGTTTGCTTCTTGAGATAAATTAGGTAAGTATTATTTTATAAAATCAATTTCTTTTATTGATGTGTATGCTTTTGCTAATGAAGACTAAGGGATGATTTGCAAAAGGAGCTTACACCTTTTTATCATCAAAAGGTCAGATTTAATCAGACGGCTCCCATTTAAATTCTCTCCATGATGACTTGCCAATGACCTCTACTTGGACCCAGAGAGACTGTCATGATGTACAAGTAGTTTAGCTCTATCCAACTAAACTGTCTTGTGGGGTCTCTGAGAAGAAAATTGTTAGCTGTAGCAACTGATGGGACTCTTTGCAATGAATTCATTTAAGCAGGATGAGGACCAGGTCTTAAAGTAAGGCCATGTGGAGATATGTCCTTCTGTAATAAGCCTGTCCAACTAACTGCACTTTGCTATTTCAGCTAGTTCTTCTGACATGTTTTGAGACCTCACCAATACTTTACAGAAAAAAACCTCCTTAAGCTACTTACCAGCCACTCTGTATCCTCCTCTGTATTAGGATTTTTATAGAAGTGTTAGTGTACAAGTTTCCTCTTTTTGGCTTCCTTAACATATATATTAGAATGTGTAAATCCGTGAAAGGCAAGAAAACATATAAGCAGTGATTTTTCTCTATCTCAGAAATACATAGTGGAAGTAAATAAATTTTTTTAAACAAAATGGGAAATAAATTATATTATGATGATGATAATTACTGGTGTCTGATCTACTCTGGTAGATCAGGGCAATGAAAGCAGGCATTCATTTCAAAATATGAGTCTCCCCCTTGCAATATAAAATAATTAAAGACAACTGTTAGGTGGATAATGTTAATGGATCTACAGTTCTGAACAATTATTGCCCATCTCTCTCCCTTGACTACCACTCAGCACCTTGCTCTCTAGTTGTGAATAGCAGACACAGAGATTCAAGAAGCAGAAGGTTCTCCTGCCCTTCCAGAAATGAACAATGGCTGAAGAAGTCTCAGATTCTAAACATGTATTTTGACAAGAAAGCAGAACAGATTACTTCTGTCATTATATGAAAGCACTGCGAAGTAGAAGACCTGTTCCTCTTAGGGCATTTTCTTCTCCTCCCAAAAAGCTTTGATGAACTGTTTCTGGATTTGCTTTGTGTTACATTAGTTAAGGAAGAAAAAACATAAAAAAAATCAATTCAGTGTAATTGAAGAAAAGAAAAATTCCACATATGCTTTGATTTCTGTGATTTATTTTACTTCATCATAGCAGAATCCTATGGACGAACATTACTGCACATCTACAGTTAGGCCAACCAGAATGTTTAGTTAAATTTTGCCATGCAGGAGCTTAGAAGATTTAATTAGAGATTTGACTAGGGTTTGGGGTCTGCCTCCATTCTTCTCTGAGACAGGCTTTTCCTAAAGGGCCTTCTGCAGACCTTTAACCTGAAACAAACCTGAATTTCCAGCACTGACTACACTACACTACTTCTCTGTGGGAAGAGTCCATGACCTAGCTCCAAGTTTCAGTCAAAAATTTAAGGGCAATACCGAAGGCAAAAAAGATAATCCAGGAGGTCTATTAATTCAATTGCTGTAAAAAATAAACTAAAACAGGCTACAAGCACCAGCTGTCATGAAATATCTGAGATATGCCTGCAGGTCTAAGGCTGCTCTGTCGTGTACGTAATACTTGCATGTCTCTAGGAGTATAGGTTTAAAATTCAGAGTTCCTGATTTTGCTTTCATCTTAATGATCATCCACCTGTTACTTATTTTCAGTATTACTCTGAGTACCATACCTTGTTCTTGCTGCTCTCACATGACTGTAAACTGGCCAAGATCTGACTCTCTATGGCTTGTACCCACGCATCTCTTTCTTCATATGTGGTAGCTTCAAAGTGCCAAGTCTGGCCGGTGAGAGAGACAATGATAAACTCAAAGTTTTCTTCTTGTTCTGAAAAAAATATTCAATAGGAAGGAAAGATTAAGTTTAAGGATATTGACAGCTAGGCCTAAACAATCTTGGTTCATGAGCATTTCTGCAACATAACGCACAAATGCAGTTCTAGACATCTGAGGTTTGAGGCTGGATATATCCAACTACCTTGCAGTTGCACAATGCATCAGAAAACAACTTGGGGATTCACTGATTTTTTCCTCTCCAGATGTTATGCAGATAAAGTACTGGTTTTGGTATATATTCAGTTCCTGTGTGCATTTGTGAGTTTGGTATTGAGTCTACACCAAGTGGCTAGCAAGCATTATTTTGATTTAAACCCTGCTAAGAGCTATATAATGTAAAAATCAAAGTGTGTCACAAAATAACCTAAAAGAAGAATGGACTATAGAGACCTGACAATACAGAAAATTTGACAATTTACCCACTTCTTTCAAGCAGTTTTTCACATGCACAGATATATTAAAAGCAGATGTGTACATTTTCTTGTCTACAGCATAAATACCCTGGGTTATAATACAGAATTAAAATCAGTTCAACCTATTCAACATTCACGTTCGACACGGGAGATGAGAAAATGATCTGAGAAGCTAGCAGAAAGGGTCAATGAAATATCCTTAGGGCTACTAGAGTATAAGGACAAGTATTCAGGCCAGAGGACCACGGCATGTGAAAATACCAGCAGAACTGAACTAAATGGACATGCACTCTAACTACACACGGGATACCGAAGTCAAATTAAAAAAATCAAGGAAGCTGAAACAGAGTGAGTGGAATTGGGAAGGGCAGGCACAAAGCATGAAAGGAAAAGAATAATAGAGCACAAAGTTCTGGTGAACATCAGCCATAATGGGCTTTAGAAAGAGAATTTACATTCACTTGTCTGCTAATGACTTATTATATATTCAGAGCCATGAAACTCTTGCATTACCTTGTCATCCATAAGCGTGCAAAGATAAGTGACAAATCTAGCACTAGCTTTAAAGGCAGTACTGCTGCTCGCTGGCAGTCATTTTCTCACGCTATGGGACAACTGGTTTTCTTTGATAAACTCCATGCTAGCAAGGCCAGTGCTTACGCTGCTTTTATGATGCCTTAGAAAATAGTAGAAGGTTACTTTGCACCTTGAGGTGAGAATAAACATAGAGGTGAAGGTTATTTCCAGGTGCATGAGGGGACTTGCAGCAGCTGTCTTACTAAAAAAACAGTATGCAGGATAAGCAGGAAAAGAAAGATAAGAGAAACGATGCAACTGTACAGCTACAACTGCTTTTCCATTTTAGCAATACTGTGTTAGAAACAAACAGGTAGAACCATTATCCAAAATGCTATGAATAAATGATGGAAAAAGGCACATTTATCAAACAGAGCTTTCAAGAGTTTATCGGGAAGATGTTAAGAGGAACTACTCAACAGTAAAAGAAATTACATTCAGTCCTGTGTGCTGCCTCCTGCAGGACATCAGTTATGCTCTTTTACTTACATGGAAGTGGCATGGCATTTGGGGAGCTCTAACTGCATATGCCTGTACCTCTCCCAATATGGTCAGTGGGGAGAGGTACAGGGATATGCAGTTAAGCCTACATTGATGAAAACAGGAAATGACGGTGAAGGAAGAGAGCATGAAAAACTGAATCCCACCTGAAGCAGCCCCCCTGCAGAGTTCTTTTTAGGAAATTCATTTTTAGGTCTTTCAGTGGCTTTTAAGTGACAAAACTTTGTACTCCTGAAGTCTTACTAAAGGAGGATTTCCAAATGCTCGTCATTAAACGTTCAGAAAAGCCTCTAATATAAATTATGAGGTGCAGGTGGTACTGAGACATGTGTATTGTTACTGCAGGGATCCTGCAACACACAGTATTACAAAGGCCCTTCAGTCTCACTACATTTTCTGCACCTCATGCCCCTCTCCCTCAGCCCTTCCCTCCTCCACTCACAGCTCTGTTCCAGTCTGCATCCTATTTTCCCTGCATCTCTTCCCCCTGCCCATATGCCATACCACTCCTATATAAGCCAAAGGTTTGGTCTAAGCTGAAGGTGCTGCCTGCTAGACAAAACAGTCATTTTGCCACCTCAAGTTAAAATTTCCCACACCTCCCTTTTAAGCAGGGAGGAGGCCCTGTAGTGATGCAAAGACACAGAAGAGGAAAACGAGAGGAGATTTCTCCAGTGTACTGGCAGGGCTGACTTCTCAATGTGTAGTAACCCAAAAGAATATACGGTACATAACTAATCTCAAGAAGTACATATGGTCTTTCTTTAGAGAGTCTCTCTGCACTACTCCTGTATCAGTTCATCCCAGCATTTAAGTACTAGGTGACGTTCCAGCACTACAATTCCAGACCTTAAAAGAAGTATATACAATCAAGCTGTAGCATCACTGAATCCTCCTATCTCCCATTTTCCAATAATCTCAATCATATGCATGAAGCTGGTTTGCCCAAGAAGGGCTTATGAAAAAGAAACTCTGCAATTCAGCCGGTGTACCATTTAAAAGCGAGGATGAAATACCATCCTCACAGCAGTACTTCTGCAAGCTTTGTTTTCCAGAAATGCTACGGAGTTATTCCTCTGCTTACAGGAGACCTACAGCAGAGGACACAAACCCGGCTATTCAGGCGAGTGGAGTGCAATTCAGGAAACACCTCCAGCCATTTCCCGTGGTCGCTCTTTTATAAGCCAAATCTCCTTTTCCCAAAGGAAAGGCTCCCTTGTTTCATCTCCTGACCTTTTCTGCTGTGACCAGCTGACACCGTTGACAAAAGCTGTAAAGACCTTACAGCCCTTACACAGCCTTTGTGGCTCGGGATTGCAAAGTCCATGTAACATGCCAGCAAGTTTGTCCCTGTACAGCCCCACCGTGGGTTACGAGGGCTGCAGTGTGTTTTAAGGCTGGGCTGGAAGGACTCTTTCAGTTCATCACTAAGTTAGCTGAAAACCTGGTCATCATTGATGATACATTGAGAACATGGAAGTCTTCACCCTCTGATATCCACTGAAGCTTCAGGTTTACTCCCTAAAAAGCTCAGATGAAAAGCAACTGCATCAGTTGAAAACATGTTCAATAATACATTTTCTGCTTAAATACACCAATTTTTTTTTTTTGTAGGCGCAACTGTGAAACAAAGCAGCAGTGCCTGCTCCACGTCACCCATAGCGCAATGCCTACAAAAAATGAGTAGCAAACATGCACGTCCTTAACCACTGCATACATGAACAGGAAAATCCAGGCAGCAGAATGAAATTGTTCAGTTTTACTCTTCAGTAAAATTATAGGTTGTGCTATTTAAATCCCTGTGAGCCCAATCACAAAATTTTATTAAACAGTTTTCCATGTTTAACAGTTATTCATAGAAAGGTCCACTATAATAGTATTTTAGCACCATCAACCTGTCGAAATCAACCTGCCCAATTACTCCAAACTACATTAATAACACCGGATATTACACTAATTGTGTCCAGTTTCTATGCAGACGAGGTCCCACGAGGCTAATTTTGCATCCTCAGGGGCAAGCAACTCAGCCATCAACCTGATTTCACTAGGAATCCCTCCTCATTACACAAGTCCAGGCTGTCAAACTTTTTTTTTTAAAAAAAGGTTAATGGGCCAATCAGTCATCAATTATTTCCTGGAAGACCAGCAGACAAAGGGTTAAAGTGCGAAGAACCAGCTGCAACTAATTTCCATTTGGAAGTTATTATCAACAGGAGATATCTAAAATGCTGCTGTTGTTGTTTGTTTTGCCTTTTTTTTTTTTTTTTTAAGTGGGAAGAGGTGGCTAGGATGGGAAATGAGCTGAAACTGTAAGTTTATGATGACATGGAACCTAAAGCAAAAGAGATTCTTTTTAGTGGAAGTGGGCATGCAAGTGAATTTTAGGAAAACCATCATACCATCATAACCACCACATCACTTTCAAGAATCTACACTGTACCACTGTTTATGCTGCACCTACTGTTTTGCCACTGTCTCTTCATAGTAAAGCTACTGCATTTAGCCCAGGTTAACACCAAAATAAAGACACTGCTACAGCCCACCCACTCACAGAAAACAAGATATACGATTTCTTAGAAGTATTGTGCAAGGGAAAACAAACATTTAGGCATGGTCTCACTGCATTCCTGTACCAATGCCTCTGTTTATTGTATGTAACAGATTTAGAAAGCTACACTGAAAATAACTACAGGATACAATTAGTCTACAACTTGTTCCAGAGAACTCAATTAAGTCTACTTAAACGCAGGGAAAACACATGTCAAGAAGCAGTTACGCCTCTTGGTATCCCCCAAGAGCAGTTCTAAATGGTGTGCATGTATCAGTTTGTTCGCAATTTTCACTTTCCACATCTCTTATTCTCAATATTGTTATAAGAACTACATCAACAGTCACCGACACCTTACACTAGTGCTGGGTAACCAAAAGCACAGACTGAAGTCAACAGAAGACAAGGGCCCCTTTCCACCAGGTACCCTACAGCCAGAAATTATACCCAGTGCAAAAGTTTGCTTTTAAACAAAAAAATAGTTCTACTTTTCCATGGGTATAAAACAAAGACTTGTCAATCTTAAGGCATTTCTCATAGGCATACATGACTATTCTGCCAAAATCAAAAATAAAACTGGATCTTCTAGCTTCCAAGCCAACCAGTCTCTTTCACTAGGTGCCAGGCTGTGCATTTTCATCTTTGCCCAACGTAGCTGTCATCAGAGGATTCTGGTATGGCTGCTAATTAATAGTAACTCATTGTGCACGTCTGGTGGATGATGCCACTCACACAGGAAACACTTCCCAGAAACAAGAAGTCAAGTGCAGAACCAAAAGATTCTCAATGGTGTATTTCAAACATCTGTGAAGCATCTTCAAGAGTTGAGGTTACAGCTTGAAACCTAGTCAAGCCTGCCTCGAGTAACACCGAGACCTATTTAAACTCCCTTTTTATCACGCCCTTCTCCCTCTCTCAAAAATCGCTTCTGCTCAAGCACCCTTCTTTAATAACCCTTCATCTTTTCAAAAGGATGAGAATAAAAAACTGCCGAGGTGCCCTAGCAATCAACATTAGATGTTTACAGTATACTATTTGTTTATAACAAAGGCGGGTGTTATTTACGTACTATATAATGTTAACTATTGTTCCCTTTTGCCACTTGGTGTAAATTATCCCTGTAACTTGGAAGATAAGTATGTTTATTAGCTGCCTCAATTAAGGAAATATTTGTGCCATGTCCCACTGGGCATGACTATGCTAATACTTCTCTCCCCTTTCCAAACCCAGTGTCTAAATCTAATTAGTTTTGAAAATCAACCCTATCAGGACAATATAGCTCTGCTATCGGTAGCCCACAGCTCTTGATAAAGGTTTTGTTTCACTGGAAGAATTTTTCAGTGGTACTGTTTTAAATCACTACCCGTGAGTGACAAACTAGTGATGAAAGGCTGGTTTCTAGCTCAAGGCACTAAGACCCCCCCTGCCATATGTACATATTGTTTTATTTGGATGCCAAGACAACATGGTTTAAAGAAATCCATGAAGTAATTTAAAAATTCAGTTCATACAGTATGTGAGTCTATACTTGCATTAGGTGTTTCCTAACACATTTCAAGCCTGCGGTTTACTTTTTAAATTATGTTTTTCAAAGCTGAAGTGCTTGCTTAACTGAGAGGTGCTGCAAAGCAGAGTCTATTGGGCAGAGCTTATCTTGGGTGCTCTGAGCAGTCTCCCCCTCCATCTGTCATAGGTAGCAAAACTTTCTGCATAGGCACAGCTCCATGGCAGCAACAGCATCAGTAACTTTTAAACAAAAGGTAAACTACTTCTTATCCAAGGTGCCTCTGATACTTAGTTCACTAGGAGTTAGTGAACATGCAGAAGACAAGCTTTCCATGAGAGCCTGCAACTCTGATGCAGCACTGTTTAACATGTCACATACGTAACCATGAAGAGGGGAAGTATGATTTAATAACTTTACGCATGTTAAACCATAACATGCAGAACACAGCCATTTAATTTTGTAATTACACTCCTTTCCGTTGTGCTGCAAAGTCTGTTGATACAGGAAAAGTAATTGTCTTTTAGTAATACTGCTATGATAGCAGGTACAAGCGACTCCAGCCTATCTTAAAACCAAAGCAGGGTCTGTTTTAAGTGTAACACACTGATACTACGTAATTTTCTACCTAGAGAATCAAAGTATTGCTTAAAGCCTGACCACCTGCAATAAGGAGCAGGTAGGACCTTTTTGTTTGTCAGTGGCTCCCTATGGAAGAAATCCAAAATCTGAAAACTAGGAGTTTTAGCCAAACTCTAAAATTAAATAAAGTAAAATTTCGTGCAATCGTACAAAACTGATGTAGGAACATCAGCAGAGGACATAGATGTACAATGCCCTGCTTCTCTCAGCCCTCAGAAGTTCGAGTCCTTCAACTGTGATCTTACACCCAGTCATCTCTGTGAAAATCCTACCCTCTTCCTCACTCCTCTGTGACCAGGACAGACCCACTAGGAATGCAGTAATTTTGCTACTGAACAGCCAAGTGAGAGGAGCCACATTCAGGGACTCTCAGCTTTGCACAGTGTACAGCAAAAGGTGACCCTCTGTCAGCACAAGCGACCCACCACCCTGAGGACCATCCATATACCTGCTCCTGCCAAGCATCTATGAAACAGTTGCAGCACCTAAGATATAGATTTCTCCAGCTTAATCAGAGATTTTGCTACCTGGAAGCATACAGAAAACCAAAAAAATAGGACCAGCATTAAAAATTATTGGAGAGGCTGTTTTCCAGATCAAGTTTTCAAAAATGCAACTGTACATGACAAATATTTTTGGTCTGTAAAAAGGTTTAAGTGCAATTGAGCAAGCATGCACTGCAGACCAAATCAGATTTGTTTTTCTGGAACTGTCATTTCCTATCACAGTTCTCTATTTTGAAGGCATAATTATCTAAACATGTGGCTTCTAATATTTATAATGCTCATTAACTCGACATTTATATGTCTTGCTATTCCAGCTTTAACACAAAGGTGTTAAAGGTACCAGCTCAAAGATGCAAAGCTATGAAGGACACTGAATGTTCAGTTTTTAGTGGGGAGAATACTTCCAAAAAAAGATACATTTCAGAATTTGATTTTGATGAGGTCTCAAAACTCTTTAGACCACGGCCATCAGGAACATGTTCCCACCTGTTTATCCAAGGTGCCTTTGATACTTAGTTTGATCACTAGGATAAAAGATTCCTCAAACTAGACAGGCCCTAAAAAATTTTAAATGTTTAACTGTAAAATGCAAGAGAATTCTTTGTACTCGTTCCCCCTGTTGCAGTTTAATAACAGGTAGGTATAAAATCACAAGCTTCTCAAGCAGTAGATCTGTAACAACAAACATGCTTACACACTGATTAGAAGAAAAATCTGTCTGGGAGATGAAAACCAGCAAATACATACAAAATTATAAATCATTAAAAAGTATCCAGTTAAGTTTCCTATTAGATTGAAAAAAACACCCTCAAACGTAATACTGCCAGACAATCATCTTCTCTCATTTCATATTTGGCGCTTCATACTTAATAACAAAAGGATCAAAACAGACAGTTTTGCAACTGTTGCTCTGAAAGGTAATAATTTTATTTAGATTGAGAAATAAAACAAAATTATAATTAAAAAAGCTTCCTTAACAAGCTGCAGTAAAATCACACTTTTGTTTCCTATGTACACTTTGTCTGGCAGGGAGAGCAAGGCATCCAACAGCAGTACAGCAGTAATTGTGCAAAAAAAGGACGGTGATATAAATCACCAAAGGTTAATGATCAGGATGTGAACAGAGGGACTTGTTTACAGAAATAGCATGCAATTTAAAATTTACAAGAGATTTAATGCCACTGCTTGGCAATCACTAAAATCAACAGCCCAGAAAACAGTGACATTAAGAAAAATATTACAGTTATAATCATTCCAAAATAAGTCAATTAGTGTTAGGGCATGCGCTTGCGATTACTTGACCCATTTGGTTCGCACTTAAGTGAAGAAAAAAAAATCCCCCTCCCTTATACCGAGACTACTGAGTTGTGACCTATTTTGCATTCCCTATTTCTTACACCATCCTTCTTACATGATGTTGGAGATGGTGGCAGAGTTTTTTTTTTTTTCTCTCCTTGCCTGGCTTCCAAGTAATTCTGACCTTTGACATTTATAATAATAAAAAAAAAAAAGTTTATAATTGTGTTGTTCAAATGAAGGTGGAGGGGGGGAAATATAAAATTCAATGTGCTATTATACAAAAGCCATGACGGCTGTCTTCGGTGGAAAAAAAGCAATGTAAGTCAATTTGTGAACTTTGGCACCAGGTGACCTTTAGAAATACAACAATATACAGAATTTACAAGCAAGAGTAGCACATGCAAATGACCCGGCACTGTCTCGCCTTTGGATTAGAGCTGCAAAGAGCATTATGGAGAAGGCTTGCACAAAACAAATTAAGACTGTTACTTAAATGTCACGGCACACTATTGTATTTGGCTACAGATCATTACACCTGATACTAACACTTTTAAAAACTGTAATAACTTGGGAAATATTACATTGAGTGCTCACACGTAGAAAGGGAAAATATATATATATATAAAAATAAATAAAAGAAGAAAATGGGTTCCTGAAGTAATTTAAACATCACCACGACTAGAGGGAAAGGTCAAAATTTAAGTAAGCTGAAAGGAACATGAATGGCAAAATAAAACGCACAAACAAAAAGATGAAAAGACCAACTGGAATGACTCTGCAAACACGAGATGAAAGCACGCATGCTTTGGGCAAATTTGATTTCCATGCCCACACTGGGTAAGGGAGAGACGCAAGGAGGACGATTTTCAGAAAAGCATTTTAAAAAAGGGGTAAGAGAGGAGGTGTTCATCTAAAACGGGTGGGTTTGTTACCTTCGGTGTTGGTGCTGCTGCTGCTGTATATATTTCGCAGGCTACCAACACGGTTTAGTTTCCAAGCTTTGCGTTTGGCTGCATCCAGAGAGCAGAAGGGGAAGAGAAAAAAAAAGAGAATAAAAATAAAGAAAAAGGAGAAAAAAAAAATGAAAAAGGGGAGAAAAGAAACATCAAAATAGCATGTGAAGTAAAATACAAGCACAAGCCTGTTAATACGTGAAGAGCTACACACAGAAAATGCACACAGGACTATACAGCCTCTCCAATCCACAGACGATACAGAAAGCCTCTTACTGAGAGTGATTTTTTAAGTCTCTACAACATGACACAATTTGACAAGATTAAATGGATCCGCTATCGGAATAGACACAACCAGACCAGTAGAAGTGAAAAAAAAAATGCAGGAAGTATCTATACAGAGGATACATGACTAGACAAAACAGCTACTGTAAAATGTGATTTAATAATTAACAAAACACAGCCAGAGAAGAGCTCTTTTTCCTCCAAAAGCCTGTATTAATCACTTAGTGCCTGTAGTTCACCTTTAAAACACCTTTAAACCACCTTTTTACATCATCACCTTTAAAAGTTTAGGTGATGATGCAATGGCCTTAAATCCTCATTTTAAAAAAAGCATGTTATTTGTAGCACTGAGCTTAGAGGCATTACTTAATTATTTTGACGAGTGTCAAGTAGACATTGATGGAATTGATGTTTGTGGTCCTCCCTTCCTCCCCCAGGCAAATCACTGCGAAATCAGTAAAAAAATATATATTCTTTATATGAGGCAACACCCTTGCTTTATTAGAATTGCCTCAAACTTTGAGATTCTCTGAGCTCCCAGCTGCCATTTTACAATTAGGAGAAAATATTGCTCAAAACCACTCCATTCCCATGCTCATTAGGAGAGAGCACTTTTACACGTTCTTTAAAATCGACATGTTTTGCCTCAAGAGTGAATTCACAGCGTGAGATGCACGTTCAATCAACAGCACGTTTAGCCGAGTTTCATCAGACAGGAACTGTATAAAACATCCGAGCACACCGTAACACTGCTGGCACCTAACAGTGACTGAAATAACAGAGATGTCCCCTCTTCCTCACCCATGGACATCTCTACATCTTGGGGGGCGAACCGTCTATCTGCTAAAAGCAATTATTTCTGTAGGCTTTCCCACCAGTGCATCAGCTTACCTCGTCAAGAAAGAATGATGCAGCACTGCTGGGCACACAACTACTTTGTAAAAACTGTTTTATAGGAGCAGGGAAGAGATCACTGGGGACACTGACAAGTGGAAGAGCATCCAGAACTCCTTCTGAGCCACCTTTTCCAGCCCTCCTGCCCACAGACAGTGGAGAGCTTTAAGTTTGGGTGTGAGACTTCTAAAAAGGACAGCAATGGTTACATTATGATTAACTGCTAAGACGTGTTTGAAAATGGAAAGTCTTCCACCCCCATTCAGCTCAGAGTGTATATAAAGAAACTCACATGGTAAATCTGGAGTAAGACCATTCTCTCCCATACCACACTTGCTCCTCACCCTTTAGGATATGAACATCTCACAACATAGTGAGTACTATAATTTTAAATTCTGAGTATAATTTAAAGTACAATAAATTTAAAATTTTCTTCATATATTTATGAGAGAACTTTTTTGATGTCCCATGAAACTCAGATCAAATGGCTGATTCCACAGAAAAGGAACAGTGACATCAAGTTATTCCAGTCTTTAAAAAAGAGCTTGAGTTTTGGCTAAAGAACTAAGGCTGGAAGAGAAATGCCTAAACACCCTAGACTGTTAAGCTATATACTGTTAATAAAGCCATCTGCAGACTTTAATGCTATATTACTCAAAAGGAGGACTGGATGACTGAGTGACATCCTTTATAATGTATCTTACTGAAGTGAAAATAGATGTTATCTGGAAGGCTAAGTTAGATCTATCTAAAAATGAAAGTTCATCAAGTCTAAAAATAACCTTCATCGGGTACATCCTTCAATATGAAAAAATTCTTCAGTTTTAAGACCTGTTTAACAAGTCCCAGCACCTAGAGAGACACAATTTCCCAGCAGAAAACTTGTTTTTCCTGAAAAACATTTACATATAAATAGGCAAAATCGAGGTTTGGCACCCCTCAGGAAGAGAAGACCGTCTCCAGTACACAAAGACCCTTTCCCAGTCCCTTTTCATTTTTCATACTTTAATGGCATGTTACGAGTATGGCTGTATGATCAGGAAGTGAACTTGCAGCCTGGTTTTCTATTAACCTATTGATGAAACAATCCATTTTAATGTGTTAAGTGTCATGCCTTTTCTTCTCTTTAAATAAATGGACTTTTTCGCAGTGATGTTGAGGTCCTGATACATCAGAGTGTGTCCTTTAGCATCGATTAGGCACCAGCCTGCTTCCTCATGGTGCTCTGCCATCTTTGAGGATTCAATAATATCAGCAGCAGGATTTGGACACTGCCAAGCACAGCCTCAGTGGAGTGACTGATGTGTGTGTGAACACCAGGGCCCATCTTAGTCACCCTACCCTGCCTGCCTTCAATTACATACTGTCTACACATTTTTGTTACCTACCAACAAGGCCTTAATGGGCACTGGAGGTCATTATTTGCCTGGTTTGTCTTTGACCTATATCCCAGGATATTCAGTTGGTCCAGTCTGGCTTCACTTGCTGATTCAGAAGTTAATTCAACAAAAGCTTTTGTTGTCAACTCTGCATACATATATATCTATATATAGAGAGAGTATATATACACTCAAACAAATAAATAAACCCCAATTGGTTTCCAATAAAAAGCTATAAGAAATACTTACTTCATTATTTAACAGCAAACAGAACTCCCTAATTAGAAAGATCTTTAAGGCAGATTGATTTGAAGTATTTTTCTGGAAGCCTGCTTTCTTCAAAAAAGCCACTAGGAAGTGTCTCTAACTAGACACACCAGAAAAACCCAAACACCTCTCTCAAACATCAAATATCTGGAATGAAGTTAACTATTTCCCAGAAGACACTGGGTATTTAATTTAGCTTGTACTGAGGTGGCAACTAGTATCCTGCCTAGTATGTTGTGCTACTACAATCTGAATGACTAATGTATTTTAATAACGTTTCAAGAAAATCTTTTAACAACTTTGACACTCGCCCTGATCTCTGGATTCACTGCTGACAGAAAAACAACACCTCGCAGCAATCAAAGCAGTTCCTCCATCCCAACCAGTGTGTAGACAAGGCATAGCAACACAGTTTCTGCTCTTATCCAAGCTCATTAACTCCAGAAATTTAGATTGCTAAGATTAAACTCCTACCTTCACTGGGCAAATCAATTTGTGCATCCTAACACTCAATCTGGACCAGCACAAGAAGTCATTATCTGTCACCCCATGGCACAGAGCTTGGCTTTTAACAATCCTGCAGAACAACGCCGGATCATTGTAACCTTCGACTTGATGCAAGCCATTGTCCACCCACTCCTACCGGTAGTGACCACTGGAAATCACAATGCACCCAACCACAAAAGCTTTGATTCTCGGAGCCTCAAATGTTTTTTTTTTTTTTTTTTTTTTTTTTGAAGGATAAAGTGATTTATTGAGTTCTTACAAGGAAGCTGGTTGCAAGTGTATCATCTATGATGGGATACATCACTGGTGTGGCACTTATGTACTGGTTATCTTGTTCAGATATACCAGTTAAACCCATCAGATTTATTTGTAAGGAGGAAAGAATGATGCACCTCTATATAACCGTGTCAGATGTTACAACAGGCCATATCTATATTAATTTCTTTAGATCAGAAGGTACTCCTCAGGTAGGACAGAGGTCAGCAATTGTTCAATCCTACCAGAAAAATATTCAGCAGCCAGCTAAAAATCTCTACGTGCTGTAAAAGAACCACACACTATCTAAACAGACATGTCAACTCAGCCCTAGAAAGTCATACACCAACCTGGAGAGTGAATTTTCCCCTCTCAATAAATTAGAAGATTGTTTCCTTCTACCAAAACATCACTTGCAGTGCCTTGCAATGTTGCTATGCGTTTGGAAACAAGTAATTCCTGGGTTTGCATATGCTTGACAAACAAGCAGTTGCTTGTTTAATCAAATTGCCTGGGTTTGTGGTGTGTTGTTTTTTTGGTTTTTTTTTTTTTTAATGTAATCCAAAATTTCATCATAATTTTTATGGCAAATGAATCATGTGAGCAATTGCAAACTTTTGTTGTGGTAAAACTCTGCAGTTCCTGCATCCAAGAGGGAGGACTGGATGAGCCTGTTTCCTTCCCCATCAAAGGGATTATTGTGGGCAGCCTCTCTAGAAGCCCTGCTGTTTCCCTCCTTCCCTCCTTCTACTTTACTTATCCAAGTTGCTCTTGCAACTTTTTTATTTTTAATCCCAGCTTTATGTTTCAGGGATATTTCAAATGTGGTAGCTCAGACTTTTAGAAAGTACCTTGTCACCTCTCCATCTAAACACTAAAAAACCCCATTCAGCTCAGTCAAACAGCGTAAGACAAAACACTTGCTATTGTTCATTCAGGCCTCATCTATGATCATGTATAAGCAAAAAAGAAAAATAAAAGATTTTCCAGGTGTTGTCCATGACCTGCATCTTGCCTCAAGAGTTCCCAGAAGCCCTGGCCAGGACGATGTGTCCTGGTGTCAGAAGTTGAGCTTGGCCTTCAGCACTCAGAGTCTGCACTGAGCTAAGACCCAGGTGATGAAATACTCCAGGCTGAACACATGCTTGAGCCACTCAGAAAAGTATCCTTTTGTGTAATTTCTATCAGCAAATGCAGTTTCTCTGTTTGCACACTCCTTGCATACAGCTGGGAGGTAGACACATCCCTGCAAAGCAGCACGCCAAAACATGTACAGCTACTCAGCACTTCACAAGGGCTGATAAATATTTTTCAATGGATGTGCTTGCTATAAAATAGGGCTATTGTCCTCACAAACGTTAACTCAACCTTGCAGAGTCTCAAAATGGGTTAGGTTCTGCTTTCAGGAACCATAAATTCCTTTTTACCTCCTCATTCTGCTGTGTCTGCCAGCAGTGCCAGAGAAATGCC